ATGACTGAAGGCTTTACCACACTTTTTACACTGATAGGGTTTCTCTCCAGTGTGAGTTCTTTAATGTGTTCGTAATGAACTAGGACAATCAAAGGCTTTCCCACATTCCTCACATTTACAAGGCCCATCTCCAGTGTGCTTTATCATATGTCTTTGAACATTGGAAAGGGAAATGAAGGCTTTCCCACATTCCTTACATTCATAGGGCTTCTCTCCACTATGAGCTCTTTCATGTTTTTGAATGGAACTGAGATAAGTGAAGGCCTTCCCACATTTCTTACATTCATAGGGTTTCTCCCCAGTATGACTTCTTTCATGTCTTTGAAGGGAACAGGGAAAACTGAAGGCTTTACCGCATTTCTTACATTCATGTGGTTTTTTTCGGGTGTGAGTTCTTTCATGATTTTGAAGGGATCTGGGAGTACTGAAGGATTTACCACATTCCTTACATTCATATGGCTTTTCTTCACTATGTGTGCTTTCATGATGTTGCAAGTAATTTGGACAGTCAAAAACCTTCCCACACTCCTTACATTTGTAATGCCCATCAATGAGAGAGAAACATCGACCAGCCGCCTCCTGCACACCCTCACGGGGGATGTACCTGCAACCAACGTACATGCCCTTGACTGGAATCGAACCCGGGACCTTTCAGTCTGCAGACCGACGTTCTACCATTGAGCCAAACCGGTTTCGGCAGAGCTCCTGACTTTTACAGACTTTCTCAATGTGCATGAATTACACTCTGACTGCACCTACACCCTGGATGCAAAACGCCAACCAATATGTCTAGAAACAGGGCCGGGGGGACCACAACTAAAACCTCAGAAGGAGCATCAACCTCTCTCCCAGGTGCACCTGCACCCCCAGCGCTCCAGGGCTGTAGCTTCTCAGTGTAAAAGCTCCTTCCATGGCGGGTGTGGGCAGCGGGGAGGACGACTCCCCAGGAAGAGCCAACTGGGCCTTCAAGCACTTCCCTTTGCAGGTTCTGGGGGTACGTGTGCTTAGTTTGGGTCACGGACCACAGACCTCTGCTCCCCACTGGGATAGCTTTGGGCAACCATTGCCATTTTAAGACACACCCAGTGAACAACCCATAAATAAAGCAAGTATACCTCTGAAAGGTGACAAACCCAAAGAGGGGGCAGTGTTAACAGGACAGATCACCCAGGAAAATTTGCCAAGAGGAACGTCAGGAATGATCCCGGGAGGTCGGGCATAAGAATTTTATACAATGTAGTTCCAAACGATTGTTCGCTACGTCCTTTTCACGTCAAATATCCACAAACAAAAAAATAAATCCAATTAAAAGACCATCCATGGACCATGGAAAAATAAACAGTTAAAATATGGGTCTGTTTGAAACGGAAGACAAATAGTGGACTCTGACGCTTGAATTGGGAAGGGGTGCGTTGGCTTTCGAGAATTGGGGGAGGAATCTGGAAATGTAGGCAGTTACTGCCATCCTTAGGAAGACTGGGGTGGGAGTAGGATTGGGGATTTGAGACCCTGCTTCCTAAACATTTGGAAAACTCAGGGGAAAACGGGAGCCCCCCATCCTGGAGAGAAAGCAGGGACCGAGGACCCCCCAGATCAGCTCCTCTCCCGCACGGGCCCCAGGTAATAAGTTGCGGTTGTTCTCTCACGACCCGTCCCGCGGTCACCGCGCCATCTGGGCGGACGCGGGGCTGCGGGCGCAGAGCTGCCCCGCTGAGCTCCGGGGTCGGGAGGAAATCGCCGAGCGCGGAGACGGGACAGGGCGCCCGGGGCCCGGCTGCTGGTCCGAGGTCCGAGAGGCGGCTCCGGGGACTCTGCACTTGACCTTGGGGAGGCCAGGTCCGCTAACGCCGTTTCCAGCCAGCATCTCGCCCACGGCTCCGCACCCTGGCCGCACGCACTCACCATGCTTAGGTTTCTCGGGTCCCCTGGCCTCCCCCGTTAGAATTTCTGGTAACCGAGCGGGTCCCAACGCGACGGAGCCTGCGGCGCAGCGACCGGGGCCTTGAAGGGCGAGCGACCCCCGAGCTCCCGGAGGGAGGACGTCCGGGCCGGCGGAGGGGCATCGCCCCGCCCACCGCCCCGCCCACCGTCCCGGGCCACCCCTGATTGGCCGGTTCGAAAGGCCGGTTCTTTCGCTGCTGAGTGACAGCCGGACAGCGCTGTGGAGCCTGGGCAGACGGCCCGCGGGAACTCGTCATAGGTGGGACTTTTGCATTGAAATATAATTGCCAGAGCCTGGCGGAGCTGGGATTTTTTTTTTTTTCAAGTGCACACTTAAAAGTCTCCTAACCATATGGAATGTGTCTGGCTCCATTTGATCGCTTTTATTTATTTATTTATTTATTTATTTATTTATTTATTTTTACAGAGAGGAAGGGAGAAGGATAGAGAGCTAGAAACATCAATGAGAGGGAAACATCGATCAGCTCCTCCTGCACACTACTGAGAATGTGCCTGCAACCAAGGTACATGCCCTTGACCAGAATCAAACCTGCGATCCTTCAGTCCGCAGGCCGACGCTCTATCCACTGAGCCAAACCGGTTAGGGCCATCTCTCAGTTCTTCATGGGGAATGCCCACAGACCTCTCTTCCTGCTGTGTGTGGTGACTGAGGCTGCTCCTGCCCGTGGTGGTCCTCCTGCTAAGCTGAGTCCCGGGTGAAACGTGTGCCCTCCTTTCCTCTCTCCAGTGAGGTCACCTGTGGGTCTGTGGCTCTGCCTTAGGCTGCCTGTGTCAGGTGGCCTCCAGGTTCTTCAGAGTCCCAGGCTCGATGGGGCTATTGGTGCAGGGTGGGTGGGCTGCTTGTCTGGGATGGTACTACGTACATGTGAGCACTTCCTCAGGGACTGAGAGAGGCAGTGGGCGGAGCCAGGAATCTGTGCATACTCTATGGAGAGGCTGCCGGGCAGGGAGTGATTCCATCCTTGTCAGAATGAATGTTATGCTAGTATCACTGATTCACCAATCTGGGGGATTATTACTTTGATGAAACCCAGATTTCTAAGTCTCGCTATTGTGGATTAAACGGTGTAACCACAAGTAAGTAATCGAGTCACAAGTGAGAAAACCTAACCACCTACTTGTATTTTCCATGTCAGGAACATTTTCTCTCTTTACCGTAATTAAAAATGTTTTTAAATAGTTTTTAAAATTCTTTTTAAAAATGTGTTTCTTTCTTTCTTCCTTCCTTTCTTTCTTTCTTTCTTTCTTTCTTTCTTTCTTTGTTTGTTTCTTTTTTATCTTGTTAAACCTCAGCCAATGATATTTTTTCCCATTGATTTTCAGAGAGTGGAAGGAAGCTGTGGAGACAGAGAAACATGGATGTGAGAGAGACACATCTACAATCACTGGAGAACAAAACTCATGAGATTTCAGTCCAAGGGCTGATGCTCTTAACCACAAATACAGCTAGGGCTAAATATGTTTTTATTGATGTCATCGAGAAAGGCAGAGGGAGAGGGAGATAGAAATATCAATGATGAGAATCATCCAGGGCTGCCTCCGCCCCCTAATGGGAATCAGTCCGCAACCTGGGCATGCGCCCTGTCTGGGAATCAGACCAAGACCACCACTGAGCCATACCAGGGGGCATGTCAGGAACATGTTTTAAAGTTAACCATTCTGCCCAGCTGGCATGGCTCAGTGGTTGAGCGTTGATATATGAACCAGGCGGTCACAGTTCGAATCCTGATCAGGGCATATGCCAGAATTGTGGGCTCAGTCCTCAGTGTGGGGCGTGCGAGAGGCAGCTGATCAATGACTCTCATCATTGATGTTTCTGTTAGATCCATGCTGAGAGGAGCCAGGCCAAGAGACCGTTGTGAGAGTTTAAGAACCTTTGCTATCTTCTCTCACAGCGGGCTGAGACCATTGTGTGGGTGTCAGCGGGGCAGAATAGGGAGAGCGGGATATTTGTGTCTCTAGTAAGGGTCAGAGTGACCAGTCCGACCAGGTGCAGGTGGGGGCCAGGTATAGGCGGTCCTGGGAACTGGGTGAGGCAGTTTACTGCAAGCTGAAGACTGATATCATGAAACCTACAATGAGGATAACAGGAAAAACGCAGGGAGGGGCAAGAGTCCCAGCAGGGCCCAATGGAACTCATGAATATGCCCAACAGTTTCTATCTCTCCCTCCCCATTCCACTCTGAAATAAATACAAATATATATATATATATATATATATATATATATATATATATATATATATATTTCAGAGCGGAATATATATATATATAAAATATAGAGAAGAAGGGAGAGAGATAGAGAGCTAGAAACATCGACCAGCTGCCTCCTGCACACCCCCCACCGGGGATGTGCCCGCAACCAATGTACATGCCCCTGACCGGAATCGAACCCGGGACCCTTCAGTCCGCAGACCTCTTTGCTCTTTCTGGGAATCTGGCTGTAGTTCTGGAAGGATCCCTCCCCAAGGCATCCCTGGTCCCTGAGCCTGTGCACCTTCTTGGCAAATGCACACGTCAGACTCCAGCTGTCAACAAAGATCAAAATGGAGCCGAAACCGGTTTGGCTCAGTGGATAGAGCGTCGGCCTGTGGACTCAAGGGTCCCAGGTTAGATTCAGGTCAAGAGCACGTACCTTGGTTGCGGACACATCTCCGGTAGGGGGTGTGCAAGAGGCAGCTGATTGATGATTCTCTCTCATCGATGTTTCTAACTCTCTATCCCTCTCTCTTCCTCTCTGTAAGAAATCAATAAAATATATTAAAAAACAAAAAGATCAAAATGGAGCCAGATTCATGAGGTGTCTTTTCAGGGTGTGTGTTTCCAAGGAAGGACCTCTGTTCCCTGGGGACTCTCAGCCCTGCCTCTCAGGGCAAACGTCCTGGACAGGAGCTGTGGCTGCTTTGGGCTCAGGCCTGTGCACCTCGGGCGCTAGGGGGCGCTGTCTGCGAAGTGTGTGCAGCTGAGCTGGGCGCCGGGTGGGCGGAGCTGCTGTGGGGCGGGTGGGGGCTATTTGGGGAGCGGGTGGGTGGTGCTCTTCTCCGCTTCCACACGGAAGTTCCCGGGGGTCGTACATCCCTCGCACTTCCGTCTTTCTCCTGTGATCTGTCCGGGCGGTGGGGCCGCAGGGGACTCGGGCCGGGAACGGACATGGTGAGTGACGGCCGGGCGCGGAGGCGGCAGGAGGGCGGGGAGCCGCCGGGGACCGTCTGTCCGCGGGCAGGTCCGGGCTGCGGACCCCAGGCGCCCGGGCTCCGCGGAGGCTGCAGGCCCCTCGGGCTCGCAGGGGGCCCCGCCGGGACCCGGGTCCAGGGCGTCCCCGCGGCGGGGCCTGGGGCTGCGGAGCGAGTCCGGGCGGCTCCGCGCCCACAGCCCGGGCTCCGCAGCGGGTGCGGGGCCGCGCGGAGGGTCCGTGGGGACAGGGGGCTCGGCCTCCGCGGTCCGTGCACTGGGGGAGCTGTGGTCTGTGGCCTGTCCCTCCTTTCCCCCCAGAGGGACCGTGTTCTCCTGGGTGTGATGTGTGTGGGGCAGGCTCTCCAGTCCCCCCGTCCCCAAGGCCCTGCTCTGCAGCCAATGCCTGCATTCCCAGCCTCTCCCCGGACCCTGAGCCCCATCTTCCCTCCTCTGAGTCACAGTGTTGGAGACCGGGTGTAAGCTGACAGTCCTTGCCCCCAAAGGGACTGATGAGATTCAGTCTTCTGCCCTCAGTGTCCCCTGACTTTTTTTTTTTTTTTTTAATGTTTTATGACATTTTTACAGAGAGGAAGGGAGAGGGACAGAGAGTCAGAAACATAGATGAGAGAGAAATATCCATCAGCTGCCTCCTGCACACCCCCCACTGGGGATGTGCCCCCAACCAAGGTACATGCCCTTGACGGGAATCTTTCAGATGCTCTATCCACTGAGCCAAACTGGTTTCGGCTCCTCTGACTTGTTTTGATGGCACTTTTCTATTGTCAGCAGAATGAGAGCGACCTTCATAGCTCATCAGAAGTCTGTAAGTATTTACCGAGAATTTGGCTTCCTGCTTTATCTCCACGATTGGGAGGAGAGTGCCATTGCGCAGTTAATACGCTGCTGCAGTCTGTGGATCCCGCTTTCCTGTCTTTCTCCCCCCCCACCCGCGCCCCCCTAATTCCCACCTCCCTACCTCAGTCCGGTTCACCTGTCAGGCTGGCCCTGACCTCATAGCATCTTTATCAGCTATTTGTTTTTGTGGTGCTTTTCAAATGCTTAAAAACAAGATTCAACTGCCGGAACCGGTTTGGCTCAGCGGATAGAGCGTTGGCCTGTGGACTGAAGGGTCCCGGGTTCGATTTGGGTCAGGGCGCATGTACCTTGGTTGCTGCCACATCCCCAGTAGGGGACGTGCAGGAAGCAACTGATTGATGTTTCTGACTCTCTCTCTCCCTTCCTCTCTTTATTTATTTTATTTTTATTTATTTTTAAAAAATATATTTTATTGATTTTTTACAGAGAGGAAGAGAGAGGGATAGAGAGTTAGAAACATCGATCAGCTGCATCCTGCACGCCCCCCCCCCCCCCCCCCCATGTGCCCGCAACCAAGGTACACGCCCCTGACCGGAATCTAACCTGGGACCTTTCAGTCCACAGGCCGACATTCTATCCACTGAGCCAAACCGGCTCCCTTCCTCTCTTTAAAAAAAATCAATAATATATATTTGAAGACAAAACGAAACAAAAAACAAGATTCATCTGAACAAATTGAAAATACTAATTGGTTTGATTCCCTTTCAGGCATTGGGCAGCAACCCATCTAGAAAATAGAATCTGAGCGGCTTTTCAAAATGGAAGGCTTTTTACTATTCTAGGCAGAAAGGAAGTGGTTTTGAGAGGTTATTATTGTTCCCCTTTTTAATAGATATTGTAAATTGTGCTGCTATGAACATAGGGGTGCATATATCCTTTCTGATTGGTGTTTCTGTTATCTTAGGATATATTTCTAGAAGTGGGTTACTGGGTCAAATAAAAGTTCCATTTTTAATTTTTTTGCGGAAATGCCATACTGTTCTCCACAGTGGCTGCACCAGTCTGCATTCCCACCAGCAGTGCACGAGGGTTCCTCTTTTTCCGAATCCTCGCCAGCACTTGTCATTTGTTGACTTGTTGATGATAGCCATTCTGACAGGTGTGAGATGGTACCTCATTGCTGTTTTGATTTGCATCTCTCAGATGATTAGTGACTTTGAGCATGTTTTCAAATGTCTCTTGGTCTTATTTATGTCCTCTTTTGAAAGGAGTCTATTTAGGTCCTTTGCCCTTTTTTGACTGCCTTCGTTTTGTTGAGTTGTATGAATTCCCTATAAATTTTGGAGATTAAACATTTATCGGAGATAACATTAGCAAATATGTTCTCTCATGCAGTGGGCTTTCTTTTTGTTTTGTTGGTGGTTTATTTTGCTGTGCAGAAGCTTTTAATTTTGATGTAGTCCCATTTGTTTATTTCCTCCATAGTTTCCATTACCTTAGATACTGTATCAGTAAAGATATTTCTACAACAAATGTCTGTTATTTTCCTGCCTATGTCTTCTAAGATTTTTATGATTTCCCATCTTATGTTTAAGTCCTTTATCCATTTTGAGTTTATTTCTGTGTATGGTGTAAGTTGGTGGCCTAGTTTCATTTTTTTTTTGTTGTTGTTGCATGTATCTATCAAATTTTTCCAACATCATTTATTGAAGAGACTGTCTTGGCTCCATTGTATGCTCTTGCCTCCTTTGTAAAATATTAATTGAGCATATTGGCCTGGGTCAATTTCTGGGTTCTCTGTTCTGTTCTATTGGTCTATATGTTTGTTCTTGTGTCAGTACCAGGCAGTTTTGAGAATAGTGGCTTTGTAATATAGTTTGATATCTGGCATTGTGATCCCTCCATTTTTATTCTTCTTTCTCAAGATTGCTACAGTTATTTGGGGTCTTTTTTTATTCCAGATGAATTTTTGGATAGTTTGTTCTATATCTTTGAAGTTTACCTTTGGTATTTTAACAGGGATTGTATTGAATCAATAGAATGCTTTTTGGTAGGATGAACATTTTAATGAGGTTTATTCTACCTATCCATGAACACTGAATATTCTTTCATTTGTTTATTTCTTCCTCTATCTCTCTTTTTTAGCATCTTATTAATTTCTGAATACAGTTCCTTTACTTAATTAAATTTATTCCTAGATACTGTAATTTTTATGTTGCAATGGTAGATGGGATTTTTTTTTAGGTTTCTTTCTGTGAGTTCATTACTGGTGTATAAAAAGGCCATAGATTTCTGGGTGTTAATTTTTAAAAAAATATATATTGATTTTTTTACAGAAAGGAAGGGAGAGAGTTAGAGAGTTAGAAACATCGATGAGAGAGAGTCATCAATCATCTGCCTCTTGCACACCCCCTACTGGGGATATGCCCGCAACCAAGGTACATGCCCTTGACTGGAATCGAACCTGGGACTCTTCAGTCCCCTCCCCAAGCCGATGCTCTATCCATTGAGCCAAACCGGTTTTGGCTTTGGGTGTTAATTTTGTATCCTGCTACATTGCCAAATTCATTTATTAAGTGTAGTGGTTTTATGATGGAGTCTTTCGGGTTTTCTGAGTATAATATCATGTATTCTGTGAATAATAACAATTTTACTTCTTTTCCAATTTGGATTCCTTTTATTTCTTCTTATTGTCTGATCGCTATGGCTAGCACTTTCAGTACTATGTCAGACAAGAGTGGTGAAAGTGGGCATCTCTGTCTCATTCCTGTTCTTAGGGGAAATGGTTTTAACTTTTGCCCATTGAGTATGATGTTGGCTGTAGGTTTGTCATATAAAGCTTTTATTATGTTAAGGTATGATCCCTCTATTCCCACTTTACTGAGAGTTTTTATCAGGAAAGGTTGATGGATTTTGTCAAATGCCTTTTCCGTATCAATTGATATGATGATGTGATTTTTGTCTTTCAATTTGTAAATGTGATGTATTACGTTTATTGGTTAGCGGATATTGTACTAGCCTTGCGTTCCTGTGATGATTTCCACTTGGTCATGGTGTGTGATCTTTCTAATGCAATGCTGGATCCAATTGAGCGTCAAGTTTTTGGAGAAAATCACTTTTGTATGTTTTATGTTTTCAAACCTATTGGGATGACATTGGCTAGGAAATGTATATGTTTCAAATGTACATTTCTATACTACATCATATGTACCTTGTATTGTGTGTTCCCCACCCAAAGTCTCCTTCCATCACTATTCAATACTCACCTTTACCCTCTTCTACCTCCTCACACTCCCCTTTTCCTCTGGTACCTCATGCTGTTGTCTAAGTCTAAGAGTTTGTTTTGCTTAATTACTCCCAACCCCCTTCTCCTCTGACAGTTATCAGTCTGTTCTCTATATCTATGAGTCCCTGTAGACTTTGTTAATTTCTCTTCTTTACATTCCAAATATAAATGAAGTCATGTTTGTATTTTTTAAAAAATATATTTTATTGATTTTTCACAGAGAGAAAAAGAGAGGGATAGAGAGTTAGAAACATCGATCAGCTGCCTCTTGCACACCCCCTACTGGGGATGTGCCTGCAACCAAGGTACATGCCCTTGACCGGAATCGAACCCGGGACCTTTCAGTCTAGGCCGACGCTCTATCCACTGAGCCAAACCGTTTTCGGCTGTATTTTTTCTTACTGGTTTACTTCAGTTACCTTAATGCTCTTCGTTTTCATCCATGCTGTCACAGAGGGTACGATTTCCTTCATTTTTAAGGCTGGGTAATATTCAGTTGAGTTGTACTATAACTTTTTTATCCACTCACTTACTGATGGGCACTTGAGCTTTCATCATATCTGGGATATTGTAAATACTGCTACAATGAATGTGGGGGTGCATATTTTCTTTTGTATTAGTGTTTTGACTTTTTTTAGAAAATATATATTACCAAAAATGAAACTGCCGGTTTATTGCCGGTGCTGACAAGCAGACCCTGAACGACGGATTTATGGATTACTTTGAGACATTTGCTGTGAAAGAGAGGTTAAGGGACTGCCCTGCTAAAGGAACCAGATAGCCTCGATTGCCTGCCTCGTTGGGCTTTTATTGTACCGTATTTTCCAGCGTATAAGACGACCTGGCGTATAAGATGACCCCCCTAATTTTACAGTTAAAACATAGGTTTAGGCCTATATTCACTGTATAAGACTACCCCTCCACTTCCGAGGCAACACCAATTCTTTTTTTAATAGACCGCTGCTCTGACTCTGGCCAATCTGAGCAGGCTTTTTACTAGAACACAGTGTCATCTTATATGCCGGAAAATACGGTAACTGCAGTTTGAGATAAAGTTTATCTTTTATTTTATTTATTTTTTCATTTTTTTAATTAAATTATTATCTGTGTACATATACCATTGCCCGCCCCCCTTCAATACATGCCCGTCCTCCCCATAGTTTTGTGTCCAATGGTTGTACTTATATGCATGTAAACAAGTCCTTCGGTTGATCTCTTATCATCCCCAGATCTCCCTACTCTCCCTGCTGTAATTTGACAGTCTGCTTGTTGCTTTACTGTCTCTATATCTATCTTTTGGTTCGTCAGTTTATAATGTTCTTTATTATCCATAAATGAGTGATGTTTCTCTTTCATTGATTGGCTTATTTCACTCAGCATGATGTTCTCCAATTCCATCCAGGTTGCTGCAAATGATGAGAATTCCTTCTTTTTTATGGCAGCGTAATATTCCATTGTGTAGATGTACCATAGTTTTTGGATCCAATCATCTGCTGATGGGCACCTAGGCTGTTTCCAAATTCTAGCTATTGTAGATTGTGCTGCTATGAACATAGGGGTGCAAATATCCTTTCTGATTGGTGTTTCTAGTTTCTTGGGATATAATCCTAGGAGTGGGATTACTGGGTCAAATGGAGTTCCATTTTCAGTTTTTTGAGGAAATTCCATACTGTTCTCCACAGTGGTTGCACTAGTCTGCATTCCCACCAGCAGTGCATGAGGGTTCCTTTTTCTCCGCAACCTCGCCAACACTTGTCATTTGTTGATTTGTTGATATTAGCCATTCTGGCAGATGTGAGATGGTACCGCATTGTTGTTTTGATTTGCATCTCTCGGATAATTAGTGACTTTGAGCATGTTTTCATGTGCCTTTTGGCCTTCCTTCTGTCTTCTTTTGAAAATATTCTATTTAGATCCATTGCCCATTTTTTAATTGGGTCATTTATCGTCCTTTTATTTAGTTGTGTAAGCTGTCTGTAGATGTTGGAGATTAAACCTTTATCAGTGATAACATTTGCAAATATGTTTTCCCATACAGTGGGCTTTCTTGTTGTTTTGTAGATGGTTTCTTTTGCTGTAAAAAAGCTTTTTTACAGTTTATCTTTTAAATACAATTAGTAGGCTAAGTAATTTTGGGAGAACACATGTGTTTGTAATGTCCTTTAAGTAAGAACATCCAAATATTAAGTATAAGGATTCCTGTAAACACCTGGTTTCAGTACATGCACAGTCTTGTTTTTGAAAGGTCAAGAAATAATTAGAAGCATTGCCTTTGGCACTCCCCTAAGTCAGAATTCTAATAAGCAGGGCAGGCGGCTTTCTGCACAACTTCTCGTTTTTCAGCATGTCCTCTTTGCTGACTTTACAGCCAAGTCTTGTGTGTTTCCCAACATCTCCACCTTTTTTGTTTGATGAATGTAGAAGACAGAGGGAGGGAGGTGGTGAACTTTCTGCTTCAGAATATTAGGATCCCGGAAGTGCATTTACTGCTCCAGTTCCAATTTTACAGATTATAAAAAAAACAAAAACAAAAAGAGCAATGGTTGGTTATCTAGAATGGGTGGAGTGTGAGTATGCTCCGCTTCATCATGATTTCCCAGGTTATTCTGGGGGGCCACCTGGGTCCAGGGAAGGTGCATTGTTCGAGGCTTCAGATCCGCAGGTCCAAATTCTTCATTTCTGGGCGAGGATTGGTCCCATGCTATGCCATGGCAGGTTTTAATCTGGCGAACTGGAATCCACAGCAGCCCTGGGGGATTGAAACACAAGCATATCCTCTCCCCCATGTTAATAACTCATTGGGTCCCCTCCAGTGTCCACATCTCGCCACAAGACTTGTAGTTTCTGAGATGGAGTTATTGAGGTAAAGTACTGTTCTACAGAGGATTGAAAAGTATTATTCAAATTAAAAAAAATTAAGGGTAAAGAATGCTTTAGATAGCATTACAGCAGGGTCTTTGAGTCCCATATTCCCCTTTTTTGTTTTACCAGCAGATCCTTCAGGGTACCATGGGCACGTTCAATGGTGGCCTGCCCTTTTGGATGTAAGGAATTCCCATGGAATGTTGGATGGACAAAGTTCTGCAAAAGGTGGTGAAGCCAAGGCTGCTATAAGCAGGCCCATTATCAGTTTATCTTGATATAGCTACAATTGGACACAGGTCTTATTGAATTCATGCGAAGAACTGTATTGCTACTTATTAAGTATTGCCAAATACTGTAGGGATGGGTAGGGAGAGAAATAAATAATTTACCAAATTACTTTAAAAATGCCTTTTTTAAAAAAAAATATATTTTATTGATTTTATACAGAGAGGAAGGGAGAGAGATAGAGAGCTAGAAACGTTGATGAGAGAGAAACATTGACCAGGTGCCTCCTGCACACCCCCTACCGGGGATGTGCCCGCAACCAACGTACATGCCCCTGACCGGAATCGAATGTGGGACCCTTCAGTCCGCAGACCGACGCTCTACCACTGAGCCAAACTTATATCTGAAACACAAAAAGTTTAAGAATCAGTAATACTTGCAAATGACATTGAATATTGTCTTTTCTGCATAATACAATATTCTTGAATAACTCAGCTGCAAATGAAAACATAATATAGTTATATTTGACAAAGCTTCCCATTTTCTTTAAGGAGAAAATTTCCTTTATGAGAGAGAAAGCAAATATTTGAGACATTCCAGAGCCAATTGTAGTGTTTTAAAGCCAATTCTAGGTAAAGGAAAAGTTTCTTAAAATTCAAACTTGGGAAGAATTGTCAAATTTCTTTTACCAAAATTTCATATATCAAAATGTATTAGGCCCAAACATAGGCTAACAAACTTCAGTCTCCATGATTAAAAGATGGCTTTTAAGAAATTTTCTGGTTAATACAACATATAACAATTTTAATAATTTTTGTATATTTGTTCTAGTTATGTGAAATACACCATTGGTATCTTGAAAGGAATTGCATTGAATCTATAGATTGCTTTGGATAATACGAACATTTTAATGATATTAGTTTTTCCTCTCCATAAACACCATATATGCTTCCATTTATAGTTTACATTGCAATTATAGTTTATATTTAATTTTATTTTGTGTTAATTTCAGGTGTAGAACATAGTCTTTAGACAAACTACAATTTTCTGCTTGATATTTTTAGTACCCCTAACACCCCTCATGTATTTTGAAATCATGTGCCACTTCAAAATATTGCAGATTTCAATAAGGGTCCTTGTACATGCTAAGTCTTAAATTATTCCTAAATGTCCAGGCACCGGTTACAGTGTTAGAATTCTATTGGAAAGACTTCTTTTGAGTGTGATCTTATGATTTCAATATATGTGTCCATGTGTCCTAAAGATCAGATGGAGTAACCTTCAGGATCATGAGCAGGGGACTTTTGTAGAGGGCTACGTTGACCTGCCTTGCTCATGCCTGAGCTCTTAACTTCCTATCTCCATGAAATGAGAGAGGCAAAAGGTCCAACTGAGTTACTAACAAATAATATAAAAACAAATGATTATTCATACTTTTTCACAAGAATATTTTCCTTCATTCAGGTGTATCTGAATACTTCTAATAATCTGGAGTACTTCAGGACAATATGGTCAAGTACCTTTTGTTCCAAGTTGAGTTTTCACACACCTCCTGGTCTCTTCTGTTTGATGATAAGTATAGAAGAGAAAGCTAGCTACAAGGCCCTTATTGTATTCATAGTCATTAAAGCTTTATGGAGATATGACAGTATGCTTCATGGATTGCTGCATCAAATGGTGATTATAGTGGAGATGAGTTTTTTTCCTCAAGGAATTGATGGGCTTAAAATAGAAGTATTTTAATGTATTAGTATAGAAGTTGTTCAAGGCGCTCTTTAACCTGACATTAGAGAGCAATGAAGATGAAGTGATCACAGTAAAATCATATCAATAAATTCCATGTGTGCCCTAGCTGGTTTGACTCAGTGGATAGTGTTGACCTGCGGACTGAAGGGTCCCAGGTTCAAATCCAGTCAAGGACACATGCCAGGTGTGAGCTTGATCCCCAGTGGGAATGTGCAGGAGGCAACGGATCAGTGCTTCTCATTATTGATGTTTCTATCTCTCTCTTCCTCTCCCTTTCTCTCTGAAATCAATAAAAATATATTTAAAATAAACAAACAAATAAATAAATTCCATGTGTTCTTCTGAAAGTGATTGTGGCAAATTCATAATAGTCTTAAGATCATGCCATAGACTGAATGTTGGGGACCACATGTCCTGTGTGAACTTCCTATGAATTATGTATGTATAGATCCTCAGTGCTGTCTGTCTGACCCATTCTCCTATATGCATATGTGGGATGTTGTAGGACTCCGTGGCCTTTGAGGATGTTAATGTGGAGTTCACCAAGAAGGAGTGGGCATTCCTGGATCCGACCCAGAAGAAACTCTACACGGATGTGATGCTGGAAGCCTTCTGGAACCTGGCGTCAGTAGGTAGGTATCACAAATTCTTTTGTTAAAATACATTTTTATTCATTTTAGAGAGGAGGGAGAGAGGGAGAGGGAGAGAAAGAGAGAAAAATCAATGATGGGAGAAGAGTCTCTAATTGGCTACCTCCTGAGCCTCATATTGCAATAGATCAGAGAAAAGCTAAGCAACGCTTTAGAGAAAAGGAGTGACACTGTGTATTTACGCCGGCAGACTCGGGATAACTTGTCAAGTCTGAGTAAAGAAACACGTAGCGGGTTTCTCTTTTATATCTTTCTGGGGTCTTTGTTCTCCAAATATGGATTATGCTTCTGGTCTTTTTCGCAGACTTTGCAAGAAGGCCCCTGGGTGTTGGGGGTCTCCAGGCCATATCTGATGGTTTGTCCTGGCCCCAGTGTTAGTAACCCTCCCTCTGGGGCCGTGCACTGTTCAGTTTTATGGCCTCTGTAATAGGTTCTGCAAATCCAGTTTCTGTGAAAGAGGTAGTGACTTAATTATAGATTATCAAGAATGTACACTGAGCTGAAACTGGTTTGGCTCAGTGGATAGAGCGTCGGCCTGCAGACTGAAAGGTCCCAGGTTCGATTCCGGTTAAGGACATGCGGGCACATCCCCAGTAAGGGGTGTGCAGGAGGCAGCTGATTGATGTTTCTCTCTCATTGATGTTTCTAGCTTTCTATCCCTTTCTTTTCCTCTCTGTAAAAAGTCAATAAAAATTTTAAAAAAAGAATGTACACTGAGCTTGCTGGCATGGATTCAGATTGCTAGTCCTCCCCACCCTCCTCCAATTATCAGGGTTACATCGGAATTAGCCTTTTAACCTCCTCACTTCACACTCTAAGGATCTAGCCTGCAAACTGGTCCTACTGGGAATTGACCTGTGACCTCCTGGTTCATTGGTTGACCATCAACCACAGAGCTACTCTGGCCTGCAACAGTTTACTTATTTAGTCATTTGGAAAACTATTAGAATTGCTTGCTCATCAATGCTGTTTCAAAACCTGAAATACAGAAAGGGAGTACAATGGTAATTAAACTAGGAATGATCACAGCTCATTGTGTCCCTAAAATCTAACCATTTTTAATATTTAATAATGTTCTTTCTAGTGTGTATTTTAGAAGAAAAATGTGAAGACCATGATAGTGAAGATCAGTATGAAAATCAGGGGATGAATCATAGGTGAGTCACATTAACACGAGAAAGCATTAAGAGCATCATTGTTGTTGTTTTTAAATGTTTTTATATACTTATTTTATTTATTTATTTAATATTTTAAAATTTATTTCAGATAGGTAGGGAGAGGGTGAAAGAGAAACAAACATCAGCGATGAGACAGAATTATTGACGCCTGCCTCCTGCATGCCCCTCACTTGGAATCAAGCCCAGAACCTGGGCATATGCCCTGACTGGGAATCGAACTGTGACCTTCTTGTTCAGAGGTTGGCACTCAACCACTGAGCCACACTGGAGGTGCTAAAATATATTTTCATTAATTTTAGATTGTGGAGGTGAGATAGAAACATCAATTAGCTGCCTCCTGCATGCTCTGTTCTGGAGTTAATAAGTCTATAGTCAGGCCATGTTCCCTTTCAGGGAATTGAACCATCAATCTCTGGTGCATGGGTCCATGCTGAACCAGTGAGCCACATAGGCCTGGTCCACAAAACAATCTTAAAGACAGGTAATCCAATTGCATCAGCCCAGTTTTAAATATATTGGTTCTTAGAATTATCTCTAAATGTTTTTTTTCTGAAATATGACCTAATGTTTAATGTATATAAAAATAATTACTCTTGGAAACAATATACAGAAGTACCATTAATGAGTATAAGTGTTTTCATAATATCTATGATCCAGACTATTTCAGAGATTTTAGGATATCCACTTTCAAAAATCAGAATGTACAGAAACACCACACTTTTCTTGACAACAGTAAAAATATCATTGTCATATTATTATTAAATATTAAATAACTAACAGAGTATTAATAATATGCTTCTGATTTTTACAGCAATCATACAGTAGAGAGACTTTGTACAAGGAAGGATGGTAGTAAATCCAGAGAACACTTCAGCCAGATTCCAAATCATAATGAAAAGAAGGAAACTCCTACTGAAAAAAAGCAATCGAAGTCCAGATTGTGTAGGCAAATCTTCATGCATTATTTATCCTTGAATAGCCACCTGAGTTCTCACATTGGACCCAAGCTATACCTGTGTCAGGAATATGAAGAAAACCCTTATAAGTGGACGGAACCTGAGAAAGCTTTCAAGCACCATCAGCATATTCGAAGACATGAAGGCAGCCCCAGTGGGAAAGCTTTTCACTACTCAACTTCCCTTAGAAATCATGAAAGGACACATATTGCTGGGAAACTATATGGGTGTGGAAAAGGCTTTGGTCATCTCGTTTACTCTAAAGTTCACAAAAATACTGATAGTGGAGAGGAACCATATCAAAGTAAGCAATGTAGCAATGCTTTCAGGTCTCCCAAGTACTCTGGAGAAAATGAAAGAAGACACACTGGAGAAAAGCCCTACCAATATCAGAAATCTGGAAAAGCTTTCAGTTCCACTTCTTTTACAAATCATAAAACTACACATACTGGCAAGAAACCTTATAAATGTAAGCAATGTGGCAAAGTCTTCAATTTGCGCAGCTCTCTTAGAAAACATAAAATAAGTCATTTCGAAAAGCAGCCTCATGAATGTAAGGAATGTGGTGAAACATTTCCTTATCCCTCTTTACTTAGAAGTCATAAAATAATTCATACTGGTGGAAAACCCTATGAATGTAAGCAATGTGGTAAGTATTTATCTAGTCCAGCTTCCCTCCGACGTCATGAAAGAATTCATACTGAGGAAAAGCCATATAAATGTGAGCAGTGTAGTAGAGCTTTCTATGATCAGGATGTCCTGCAACGTCATAAAAGCATTCATACTGGGCAAAAACTATATAAATGTGAGCATTGTGGTAAAGTTTTATCTAATCAAACTTCCCTCCGACGTCATGAAAGAATTCATACCCGGGAAAAGCCATATAAATGTGAGCGGTGTGGCAGAGCTTTCTATGATCAGGATGTCCTGCAACGTCATAAAAGCATTCATACTAGACAAAAACCCTATAAATGTCAGCATTGTGATAAAGTTTTATATAATCGAATTTCCCTCCATTGTCATGAAAGCACTCATACTGGGGAAAAACCATATAAATGTGAGTATTGTGGCAGAGCTTTCTATGATCAGGATGTCCTGCAACGTCATAAAAGCATTCATACTGGGCAAAAACTCTATAAATGTGAGCATTGTGGTAAAGTTTTATCTAATCAAACTTCCCTCCGACGTCATGAAAGCATTCATACTGGGGAAAAACCCTATAAATGTCAGCAGTGTGACAAAGCTTTCTGTGATCGAGGTGCCCTCAATCGTCACGAAAGAACTCATACTGGGTTAAGACCCTATGAATGTAAGCATTGTGGTAAAGGTTTTGATTTTCCATTTTCTCTCCAAGATCATGAAATGATTCATAGTGGGGTAAAACCCTATGACTGTAAGCATTGTGGAAAAGCCTTCAGTTATCTACAGTCCTGTCGAAGGCATGAAAGAACACATATGAAAGAAGACCCTGGAAATAGTGGGGTAAAACCCTATGTATGCATTCAGTGTGATAAGGTTTTCAGTCTTTCCGGTTATCTTAAAATTCATGAAAGAATTCATACTGGGGAAAAACCCTATGAATGTAACCATTGTGGTAAAGCTTTCTCTGATCCAAGTTCCTTCAAACGTCATAAAAGAATTCATAATAAGGAAAAACCCTGTTAATGTAAGCAATAGGGGAAATTTTTTATTCATCCCAGATCCCTTCGAATTCACAGAAACCTTCATAGTGTAGACAAATCATAATGAAAGAACTCATACTAAAAATAAGCTCTATCGTTGTAAAGATTGTAGAAAAGCCTTGGAGTATTCTAGTACTTTTTTTTATCCTCACCTGAGGATATTTTTCCATTGAGAGAGTGGAAGTCAGAAAGACAGCAATATCGATGTAAGAGAAACACATCAATTGGTTGCCTCTTGTACACGCCCAGACATTAACCTGTTAACTGAGCGGGACCTATAAATACGTCAAACGTAAACAATATCAGGAATGGGTAGGATGTATGAATACGTCCTGGAAATACATGTTGTGCCCTGAGATGGACGGTATATATTTTTTGTAATCTTTATAATTGTTTGTAAAATTTATAATTTTTTAATTTGATGTTTCCACTTTTTTGTTGGTATATATTATAGAGGATAAAATAAACTTTAAAGACAATTTGATTGTCTGAGCAAGTTGCCTGCTTTGGTGTTTTGTGGATATCAATGCTACCATTCAGTAAAAAGCTAAAAATGATCTTCCATGTCATAGGCCTAGACACTTTTTTTTATGTAGAGGAAGGAAGAAGGATAGAGAGTTGGAAACATGCAAAAAAATGTATTCCTACTTATTATTTTTTCTTTAAAAAATATATTTTATTGATTTTTTAGAGAGAGAGCGAGAGAGCTAGAAACATCAGTGGGAGAGAAACATCGATCAGCTGCCTCCTGCTCACCCTCCACTGGGGATGTGCCCTCAACCAAGGTACATGCCCTTGACCGGAATCAAACCTGGGACCTTTCAGTCTGTATGCTGACGCTCTATCCACTGAGCCAAACCGGTTTCGGCAGGCTGAGTTTCTTTTCAAGAGCCCAATGGTTGGCAAACGAGCTCGTGAGCTCAGCCTAACTCGATTCCAGTAATTATAGGCTGTTGTTCCTTGTGATTAAGCCCTCATCCTTACTCCTCTACAGTATATTGTATAAGGAAATACAATTGTCCCTCTACCCTCCTAGGTTCTGAGTTGAGGAATTCCTGTAATAAAAAACATACTTAGCCTGAGCCAACTCTGCTGAGTGGAGAGAGGGTCAGCCTACAGACTGAAGGGTCTCAGGTTCGATTCTGGTCAAGGGCACCTGCCCAGGTTGTAGGGATGGTCCCCATTAGGGGAACTGCAGGAGGCAGCAGATCAATGATTCTGTCACCATTGGTGTCTCTATTTCTCCCTTCTCTGAAATCAGTAAAAAACATGTAAATCAAAAACTATTCCAGTGTTAGAAACCAAAATCTTGGATAATATTTGGAAATTACTTGAGAGCATTGGTAGAGGGGTAAAAGACAAATGGCTTCTTGACAGGGGAGGAGACAAAGAAATAGATTCTTTACTTCTCTTTGTCCAGAAAACTCTTTCAGTGTGGTAATAATTGGTGTGTGTGTGTTTTTTGGAATATGATGTCACAGGTGAAGTAATCAGGTTTCTGTATTTTATTATAGAGTCATTGTATCTAGTTTCTCTACCATATTATAGATGAAGAAAATGATCCTCACTTGAAGTGGTAATAGCTATCGTGTAATTTGTTCTTTCCAAGTTCCAGGCACTGTTTTTAAAAAGTTGGCAGATAGTGTGGCTCAGTGGTTGAACGTCGACCTACATACCAGTAGGTCAGGTTAGACTCCTCAGGGCATATGCCCTGTTTGGGGTCTTGATCTCAGGAGGCAGCCGATCAGTGATTCTCTCCTATCATTGATATTTCTATCTCTCCCTCTCCCTTCCTATTTGAAATCTACAAAAATACATTTAAAAGATATAAGACAGCCCTAGCCAGTTTGGCTCAAAGATTAGAGTGTCAGCCTACAGACCAAAGGGTCCTGGATTTGATTCCAGTCAAGGGCAGGTACCTTGGTTGCTGGCTCTTCCCTAGCTGGGGCATGGTCAGGGCTCATGCAGGAGGCAACCAATAGATATCTTTCTCTCATATCGATGTTCTCTTTCTTTCCCTCTCTCTTCCTATCTCTAAAAAATCAATGGAAAAAACAAGAAATAGGTTACTTTGGTATTATTTAAAAAAAAAAAAAATATATATATATATATATATATATATATATATATATATATATATATATATTGGGTCGGCAGCTAAGTAATTGCGGGTTTCACACACATATGGGTTCAGCAGCCTGGATACGTGGGTTCTGGCTAGGAAAGAACTCAGAGCAAGACCCAAAGGGTAAGAGAACGTTTACTGGGTAAATTACAGAGGTGTGAGAGGTAATTTTTAGAAGAAGTGGGCTTAGGAAAGGAGTTAAGGAGGTAACATAAAGCCCCTTGGAACTTGGGTGAGCAAGCTAAAGGTAACCTGCCTGGAGGGGGTGGGGGGAAAGGAGATGGAGAGGAAAGGGAAGGTACAGGTGTGCTCCAAGGAGGGAGAGCGCACTGGGTCCTCCTTCCTAAAGGTTTTAGGGTGGAGATTACAGGGCTATTTCGCAGGGGACGAGCTGATGGAATATTCTGTAGCTTTCCAGGTGTGTCTATTGAGGGATGTGGTCTCTACTGATGGATTTGCTGGCACAGTGGTCAGCAAACTCATTAGTCAACAGAGCCAAACATTTCTTTTGAGAGCCAAATTTTTTATTTATTTATTTTAAAAAAATATATTTTATTGATTTTTTAGAGAGGAAGGAAGAGGGATAGAGAGCTAGAAACGTCAATGAGAGAGAAACATCTACCAGCTGCCTCTTGTACACCCTTTACCGGGGATGTGCCCGCAGCCAAGGTACATGCCCTTGACCGTAATCAAACCTGGGACCTTTCAGTCCGCAGGCCGACGGAGAGCCAAATTTTTTAAACTTAAACTTCTTCTAACGCCCCTTCAAAATATCCTCGCCCAGGCCATGGTATTTTGTGGAAGAGCCACATTCAAGGGGCCAAAGAGCTGCATGTGGCTCATGAGCCACAGTTTGCCGACCACAGACCTGGCACCAGGGCAGGGGTCATTGTTCAGTGCAGCTGGTCCTGATGTCAGCCCTGGCATCTTGTTGCTTATTTGGGCCAGGAGCCAAAATGCAATGAGGCATAGATGTTATCTCTAGGTCAGGGGGTCCAAACCACAGGACCAGTGATCTGCTAGAGGGGGAAAAGTCACCCTGGGGACTAGGCAATGGGCTGGACACCTGGCCTTCCACCCTGGTGACCTCTGTACCTGGCCCATCTCCCTGCTCTGCGTGGGTGTGTACATCTGCCCACAAGATAACCACAAGTAAGGGGTGGCTCATGACCTCCAGTGGGAACACATCTTTTCATGTGAAAAACATTTGCAAAAGGTAACCATTCTGAATACGCAGAAGTCACTTTTACCGCTGGACATGATAGCCTGGTTTCAATGCTCTTTCTGGGAATCTGGCTGTAGTTCTGGAAGGATCCCACCCTAAGGCATCCTTGGTCCCTGAGCCTGTACACCTTTTTGGCAAATGCACACGTCAGACTCCAGCTGTCAACAAAGATCAAAATGGAGCCAGATTCATGAGGTGCCTTTTCAGGGTGTGTGTTTGCAAGGAAGGACCTCTGTTCCCTGGGACTCTCAGCCCTGCCTCTCAGGGCAAACGTCCTGGACAGGAGCTGTGGCTGCTTTGGGCTCAGGCCTGTGACCTCGGGCGCTAGGGGGCGCTGTCTGCAAAGTGTGTGCAGCTGAGCTGGGCGCCAGGTGGGTGGGGCTACGCTCTGTTACTACACGGAAGTTCATTCAGCTCGAATACCCTTCGAATTTCTTTCCTCGGTCCGCGTTCTGTCTGGGCGGTGGATCCGCAGGGGACTCGGGCCGGGAACGGACATGGTGAGTGACGGCCGGGCGCGGAGGCGGCAGAGGGCGGGGAGCCGCCGGGGACCGTCTGTCCGCGGGCAGGTCCGGGCTGCGGACCCCAGGCGCCCGGGCTCCGCGGAGGCTGCAGGCCCCTCGGGCTCGCAGGGGGCCCCGCCGGGACCCGGGTCCAGGGCGTCCCCGCGGCGGGGCCTGGGGCTGCGGAGCGAGTCCGGGCGGCTCCGCGCCCACAGCCCGGGCTCCGCAGCGGGTGCCGGGCCGCGCGGAGGGTCCGTGGGGACAGGGGGCTCGGCCTCCGCGGTCCGTGCACGGGGGGAGCTGTGGTCTGTGGCCTGTCCCTCCTTTCCCCCCAGAGGGACCGTGTTCTCCTGGGTGTGATGTGTGTGGGGCAGGCTCTCCAGTCCCCCCGTCCCCCAGGCCCTGCTCTGCAGCCAATGCCTGCATTCCCAGCCTCTCCCCGGACCCTGAACCCCATCTTCCCTCCTGAGTCACAGCATCGTTATCAGCAGTTTGTTTTGTGGTGATTTTCAAACGGTTAAAAACAAGATTCAGCTGAGTAAGTGGAAGGTTAACTGGCTTGATTCCTATTCACGTATTGGGCTGCTTCCCATCTGGTAAATAGAATCTGAGGAGCTGTTCAAATGGAAGGCGTTTACTATTAAATGCAGAAAGGAAGTGGGAGAGGCGGAACTGCAGTTACACACAGGCAAGCACCCCTGAACCTTGAGGCAGTTTTGTTGTTTTCAGTTCTTGCAGGGTGTAGCCTGCTACACACCTAGGCCACATGGGGTAGCCTGTGGATCCCAGGCAGCAAACCTGTACAACGTGCCAGTGTACTGAGCACTGTAGGCAGTTGTAACGCAGTGGTGGTGAGCATTTATGAGAAGGCGCAGTAAAAATGTGGTGGCAAGACAGAAAATGGTCCATCCGTGTGGGCACTGACCCTGAATGGACTACAGGACTGGAGGCTGCTCTGCAGGAGTCAGTGGTTGGTGAGTGAATGTGAAGGCCTAGGACGCTCCTGTGCACAGACTGTAGACTGTATCACACTGCGCACTGAGGCCAGGAAATGTACAAAACACAGATCCATCAAGCCCAGGAGGCAATGATGTGATCAAAAGGCTCAGTCAGCACAAGGCCTCTGAGGCTGTGCCCGCATAAACCAGCACACTGCTTCACAGCAGAGTTTTCTTTCACTCAGTAGAAAGCTTACATGGATACAGAGGACAGTAGAGCAAATCCATGAACCAGCTCACCATCATCAGGTTTCTGTGTAGTGACCGTAACTGTATGTCCTGGGTTTTCACAGGACTGGCTGCACAGGCAGCTTGCTTACACCAGCGTCATCATAAACATCTGAGCAATGCATCTCCCTGTGACATTGTGATGGATATGACGTCACTAGGTGATTGCAGTTTTTCAAATCCACTAATCTTTTTTTAAGTTACAGTTGACTTACTTTATATTAGTTTCAGGTGCACAGCATAATGATTTGGTATGTGTATGTATTGTGAAGTGACCATCACAATGAGTCTAGTTAGCGTCTGTCATCGTATAGACTTACAGAATATTTTTTTTCTTGAAAATAGAGCTTTTAAGATTTACTCTTAGCAACTTATAACTGGAAGTTTGTACTTTTTGGCACCTTTCATCCATTTGACCCCCACCTCACCCCGTACACCACTCCTGCAACCTCTAGCAACCATCAATCTGTGCTGTGTATCAATGGAGGTCTTTTTTTTTTTTTTTTTTTTTTTTTTTTTTTTTTTTTAAAGGTTCCACAGATAAGTGAGAACACATGGCATTTCTCTTTTTCTGGCTTTTTTTCCCACAAAGCATCCTGCCCTCAAGGTCCAGGAATGTGTTGTTACAAGTGGCAGAATTTCTTTTTCTAATGGCTGAATAATACAATAATATTCCTGTGTGTGTGCACCATTTCCTTTCCTTTCTATTGTTTAAAGTACTACATATATCTCTTTTCCCCCTAATGACACCCACCCGCACCCCCACAGTCCTCAGGAGAAGCCCCAGTGTCCATGTCCATTGGTTATGCTAATATGCATGCATACAAGTCCTTGGGTTGACCTCTCATCCTTCTCCCCGCCCCTCCCTTCTTTCTGAGGTTGGACTGTCTGTGCAGTGTTTCTTAGCTTCTGGATCTATTTTTGTTCATCAGTTTATGTTCATTATATCTCACATATGAGTGTGATCATGTGATGTTTATCTTTCTCTGACTGGCTTATTTCACTTAGACTAATGCTCTCCAGGTCCATCCATGCTGTTGCAAATGGTAAAAGATATATATATATATATGAGGCCTGGTGCACAAAATTCAGTTATAGAAGGTAAACAGCCCAGCCTGCACCCTCTCCAATCTGGGATCCCTCTCACAATCCAGGACTGCTGGCTCCCAACTGCTTGCCTGCCTGCCTTCCTTCCTAATTGCCCTTAACCACTTCTGCCTGCCAGCCTAATCACCCCTAACCACTCCCCTGCCAGCCTGATTGATGTCTAACTTCTCCCCTGCCAGTCTGTTTGCCCCTAATTGCTGTCTCCTGCAGGCCTGGTCCCCCTGTCCCCTGCAGGTCTGGTCACCCCCCAATTTTCCTCCCCTGCTGGCCTGGTGACCCCTAACTGCTTTCCCCTGCAGGCCTGGTTCTCCCCAACTGTTCTCCACTGCAGGCCTTGGTGTCCGTCCCCCCTGCCCCCCCCCATATGCCCTTTCCTGCATGCCCGGTCACTCCCAACTTCCCTCATCTGCCAGCCTGGTCCCTCACAACTGCCCTCCCCTGCTGGCCATCTTGTGGTGGCCAACTTGTATCCACATGAGGACAGGATCTTTGACCACATGGGGGCAGCCATCTTGTGTGTGGGAGTGATGGTCAATCTGCATATTACTCTTTTAATAGATAGGATAGAGGCCTGGTGCATGGGGGGGGGGGGGCACGGCTGGTTTGCCCTGAAGGATGTCCCAGATCAGGGTGGGGGTTCCCTTGGGGCGTGGGATGGCTTGAGTGAGGGGCCTGTGGTGGTTTTCAGGCCAGCCATGCCTGTCGGTGACCCAAGCAGAGGCCCTGGTATCTGTGGTTTATGTATCTTCTGTAATTGAAATTTTGTAGCCTGGAACAGAGCCAAGCCTCCTGCTCACTCTGTGGCTGGCAGCCATTTCTGTTGGAATTTATGTATCTTTTAAAAAATATATATATTTTATTGATTTTTTACAGAGAGGAAGAGAGAGGGATAGAGAGTTAGAAACATTGATGAGAGAGAATCATCAATCAGCTGCCTTTTGCACACCCCCTACTGGGGATGTGCCCACAACCAAGGTATATGCCCTTGACCAGAATCGAACCTGGGACTTTTCAGTCCTCAGTCCGATGCTCTATCCACTGAGCCAAACCAGTTTCTGCTCCTTTGCCTTTTTTGTTTGGATCGTTTATCTTCCTTTGGTTAAGTTGCATGAGTACCCTGTAAATGTTAGGGATTAAACCCTTATCGGTGATAATATTGGCAAATATGTTCTCCCATGCAGTAGGCTTTCTTGTGGTTTCGTTTGCTGTGCAAAAGCTTTTTATTTTGATGCAGTCCCATTTGTTTATTTTCTCTTTTATTTTCCATGCCCTAGGAGTGGTATTGGTGAAGAAATTGCTTCAGCATATGACTAAGATGTTGCTGTCTGTGGATTCCTCTAGTATTTTTATAGTTTTCTATCTTATGTTTAAGCCCGTTATCCATTTTGAGTTTATTTTTGTCTATGGTAAAAGTTGGTGGTCTTGTTTGATTTTTTTTTGCATGTATCTGTCCAATTTTACCAACACCATTTATTGAAGAGACTGTTTTGACTCCTTTGTCATGCCTCCTTTGTCAAATATTAATTGAGCATAGTGGTTTGGGTTGATTTCTGAGTTCTCTATTCTATCCCATTGATCTACATGTCTGTTTTTGTGCCACTACAAGGCTGTTTTATGAACAGTGGCTTTGTAATACAGCTTGAAATCTCGTATTGAGATCCCACCTAATTTTTTCTTCTTTCTCAGGATTGCTGAAGCTATTTAGGGTCTTTTTTTTTTATTCCATATGAATTTTTGGAAAGTTCATTCTAGGTCTGTGAAGTATGCCATTAGTATTTTAATGGGGAGTGCATTGAATCTATAGATTGCTTTGGGTAGTATGGACATTTTAATGATATTGATTCTACCAATCCATGAACATTGTATGTTCTTTCATCTGTTTGTCTTCCTCTGTCTCTTTTTTTCAGTATCCTGTAGTTTTCTGCGTATAGGTCTTTTATCTCCTTAGTTAAGTTTATTCTTGGGTATCTTCATATTTTTGGTGAGATGGTAAATGGGTTTGCTTTTTTAGTCTCTCTTTCTATAAGTTTACTATTGGTGAATAGAAATGCCATAGATTTCTTGGAGTTAATTTTGTGTCCTGATACATTGCCAAATTCATTTACTAAGTTGAATAATTTTTTGATAGAATCTTTAGGGTTTTCTATGTACAGTATTATGTCATCTGCCAATAAGGACCGCTTTACTTCTTTTCCAATTTGGAAGCCTTTTATTTCTTTTTCTTATCTAATTGCAATGGCTAGCACTTCCATTACTATATTGAACAGGAGTGGTGAGACTGGGCATCCTGTCTTGTTCCTGTTCTTACGAAAAATGGTTTTAGTTTTTGCCCATTGAGAATGATGTTGGCTGTGGGTTTGTCATATATGGCTTTTATGTTGAGGTATGATCCTTCTATTCCCACTTTGCTGAGAGTTTTATCAAGAAAGTGTGTTGGATTTTGTCAAATGTTTTTCTGCATCAATTGATATTACTGTGATTTTTTTTTAATCTCTCAATTTGTGTATGTGAAATATCACTTTTATTGATTTTCGGATATTGTGGCATCCTTGCATCCCCGAGATAAATCCTACTTGGTCATGGTGTATGAACTTTCTGATGAACTGCTGGATCCAACTTGCTAGAATTTTATTGAGGATTTTGGCATCTGTGTTCATGAGAGATATTGAGTTCTTCTTTGGTTGAAGAAGAACTCCCCTGTGAAGCCGTCCAAACCTGGGCTTTTGTTAGCTGGGAGTTTTTTAATTACTACCGTGTTTCCCCGAAAATAAGACATCCTCCGAAAATAAGACCTAGCACATGGAAAGATAAGACATCCTCTGAAAATAAGGCCTAGCACAACTTTGGGAGAAAAAATTAATATAAGACACTGTCTTATTTTTGGGGAAACAGGGTACTTCTATTTTATCAGTTGTTATTGGCCTATTCAGGTTTTCTGATTCCTTCTGATTCAGTTTTAGGAGATTGTATTTTTTTAGGAATTTCTCCATTTCATCAACATTGTCCAGCTTGTTGTCATATGGTTGTTCATATATTTTCTTTGTATTTCTATGATGTTGTTGGTTACTTCTCCAGAGTTACTAACAAAGAATATAAAAACAATTGATCATTCATACTCCTCCACAAGAATATTTTCATTCATTAAGGGATATCTGACTACTTTTAATAATCTGGAGTACTTTAGGACAATATGGCCAAGTACATTTTGTTTTAATTGAAATTTTCACACACCACCTGGCCTCTCCTGTTTGGTGATGAAAATAGAAGAGAAAGCTACCAGGCCTTAATTATATTTACAGTCACTAAAACTTTATGCACACATGACAATATGTTTCATGGACAGCTGCATCAAATGGTGGTTATAAGGGGGATGAGTTTTCTCACAAGGAATCAATGGGCTTAACATAGAAGTATTTTAATGTATTAATATAGAAGTTGTTCAAGGTGCTCTTTACCCTGACATTTGAGAGTAATGAAGACTTAAAGTTATCACAGTAAAATCATATCAAATCCCATGTGTTCTTGAGGAAGTGAGTTTGGCAATTTAATAATAGTCTTACTATAATCAAGTCATAGACTGACTGTTGGGGACCATGTGTCCTATGTGAACTTTTTATGAGTTATTAACGCACTCAGGTCCCCAGAGCTGTCTATCTCACCTATTCTCCCATATGCATATGTGGGGTGTTTTAGGACTCAGTGGCCTTTGAGGATGTTAATGTGGAGTTCACCACAGAGGAGTGGGCTTTTCTGGATCTGACCCAGAAGAAATTCTACACAGATGTGATGTTGGAAACCTTCTGGAACCTGGCATCAGTAGGTAGGTATCACAAATTTTTAAAAATATATATTTTTATAGCTGAAACCGGTTTGGCTCAGTGGTAGAGTGTCGGTCTGCGGACTGAAAGGTCCCAGGTTTGATTCCGGTCAAGGGCATGTACCTGGGTTGCGGGCACATCCCCAGTAGGGGGTGTGCAAGAGGCAGCTGGTCCATGTTTCTCTCTCATTGATGTTTCTAGCTCTCTATTTCTCTCCCTTCCTCTCTGTAAAAAATCAATAAAATATATTTTAAAAAATTAAAAAATAAAAAATAAATAAAAATATATTTTTATTGATTTAGCGAAGAAGGAGAGCAAGAGAATGAGAGAAAAACCAATGATGAGAGAGAATCATTGGGGATCTAGCCTGCAAACCGGTTCTACTGGAAATTGACCTGTGACCTCCTGATTCATACTGGTTCATAGGTTGATGGTAAAACGCAGAACAGTTCTTGCCTGCAATTACTTGTTACTTAGGCAATTAGAAAACTAGTGTTGCTTGCTCATTAATGCTGTTTCAAGAACTGGAATATGGAAAGGGAGTACATTGTTAATTAAACCAGTAATGATCATAGCTCATTTTGTACCTAAAATCTGACTATTTTTTATATTCTTTAATAGTTTATAATGTTTTGGTTTTTTTTTAGCATGTATTTTAGAAGACCAATATGACAACCATGACAGTGAAGATCAACATGAAAATTATTGGATGAATCTTAGGTGAGTCTCATTGACATGACAAAGCATTAAGAGCATTTTTGTGTAGGTGTGTTTTTTTTTTTTAAATAGGTTTATATTATATATATGTTATTTATTTATTTAATATTTTAAAATTTTATTTCAAAGAGGTAGAAAGAAGGAGAAAGAGAAATATCAATGATGAGAGAGAATTATTGATGGCTGCCTCTTACATGCCCCAAATTTGAAATCATGTCCAGAACTTGGCAATGTGCCCTGACCAGAAATTGAATATGACTACCTGGTTCAGAGGTCAGTACTGAGTTTCGCTGGTAGTGCAAAAATATGTTTTTCTTGACTTTCATATGTGGAAGTGAGAGAGAGAGATAGAAAAATCAATAGACTGCTTCCTGCATGTCCTGTACTGGATTTAATAAGTCTGTAGTCTGGCCATGTTCCCTTTCAGAGAATTGAACTGGTTAGCCCCTAGTGTGTGGATTTATCCCGAACCACTGAGCCATATCGGCCCAGTCCACAAAAGAATCTTAAAAACAGATAATCCAATTATATCAGCCCAATTTTAAATATAGTTGTTCTTAGAATTATCTCATTAAAAATTTCCCCCCCAAATATGACCTAGATGTTTAATGTATAAAAAATAATTCCACTTGGAAACAATATAAGAAGTACCATTAATGAATATAAGCGTTTTCATAATACGTATGATTCAGCCTATATCAGAACTTTTACGATATCCACTTTTAAAAATGGAATGTCCTGAAACCCCACCCTTTCTTTGGAAATGGTAAAAATGTCATTGTCATAATATTAATAAATGTTAAATCATTCACAGAGTATTAATAATATGCTTCTGATTTTTACAGCAGTCATATGGTAGAGAGACTCTGTACAAGGAAGGATGGTAGTCAATGCAGAGAAAACTTCATCCAGATTCCAAATAATAATAAAAAGAAAGAAATTTCTGAAATAAAACAACCTAAATCCAGGTTGTGTAGGCAAATCTTCATGCGTTATTTATCCTTGAATAACCATCTGAGCTCTCACATTGGACCCAACCTATACCTGTGTCAGGAATATGAAGAAAACCTTTATAAATATGAGGAACCTGAGAAAGCTTTCAAGCCTCACCAACATATTCAAAGTCATGAAGGCAGTCCCAGTGGGAAAGCATCCTTTAGAAATCATGAAAGAATGCATATTTCTGGGAAACCATATGAGTGTAAGCAATGTGGGAAATGCTTTAGTTGTCTCATTTTCCTTAAACTTCACAAAAATACTCATAGTGGAGAGAAACCATGTCAAAGTAAGCAACATGGCAAAGCTTTCAGATCTCCCAAGTACTCTGGAGAAAATGAAAGAGTGCTCTCTGCAAAAAAGCCCTATCAATGTCAGAAATCTGGAAAAGCTTTTAGCTCCACTTCTCTTAGAAATCAGGAAAGAACACACACTAGTGAGAAACCTTATGAACGTGGAAATGTCTTCAGTTGGCTCACCTCTCTTCGAAAACACAAAAGAAGTCAGGCCAGAAAGCGGCTTCATGAATGTAAGGAATGTGATAAAACTTTCCGTTATCCCTCTTTACTTAGAATTCATGAAAGAAGACATACTGGGGAAAAACCCTATGAATGTAAGCAATGTGGGAAAGCTTTCTTTCATCCAACTTCCTTCCGAAGTCATGTAAAAGCTCATAATAAGGAAAAATTCTACGAATGTAAGCAATGTGGCAAAACCTTCAGTTCTCTAGGCTCTCTTGGAAAACATGAAAGAAATCATGCTGGAAAGAAGCCTTATGAATGTAAGGGATGTGGTAAAACTTTCCTTTATCACTATTCCCTTAGAATTCATGAAAAAACTCATACTGGGGAAAAACCCTATGAATGTAAGCATTGTGGTAAAGATTTTTTTCATCGAACTTCCCTCCGTCGTCATGAAAGAATTCATACTGGGGAAAAACCCTATGAATGTAAGCAATGTGGGAAAGCTTTCTTTTATACACGTTCCCTCCAAAGTCATGAAAGAACTCATAATAAGGAAAAACCCTATGAATGTAAGCAATGTGGTAAGACTTTTAGTTGTTCTAAATCTCTTAGCAATCATGAAAGAACACATATTGTGGAGAAACTGTATGAGTGTAAGCAATGTGGAAAAGCTTTCAGATATTCCATATCTCTTAGAAATCATGAAAAAATTCATACTGTGCGGAAACCTTATGAATGTAAGCAATGTGGGAAAGCTTTTAGATATTCTACATATTTTAGAAATCATGAAAGAATGCATACTAGGGAGAAATCCTATGAATGTAAGCAATGTGGGAAAGTTTTCAGACATTCCACTTTTCTTAGTAATCATGAAAGATTGCATAATGGGGAGAAATCCTATGAATATAAGCAATCTGGGGAAGCCTTCAGTTCTCCTAATTCCCTTGCAACACCTGAAAGAAATCATGATGGAAAGAAGCCTCATGAATGTAAGGAATGTGGTAAAACTTTCCTTTACCCATCTTTCCTTAGAATTCATGAAAGAATGCATACTGGGGAAAAACCCTATAAATGTAACCATTGTGGTAAAGCTTTCTCTTATCTATCTTCCCTCCAATGTCATGAAAGAACTCATAATAAGGAAAAACCCTATGATTGTAAGCAATGTGGGAAAGCTTTCAGACATCCCATTCTTCTTAGAAATCATGAAAGGATGCATACTGGGGAGAAACCCTATGAATGTAAGCAATGTGGGAAAACCTTTTGTTCTCCTAATTCTCTTGCAACACATAAAAGAAATCATGATGGAAAGAAGCCTCATGAATGTAAGGAATGTGGTAAAACTTTCCTTTATCCTTCTTTGCTTAGAAGTCATGAAAGAATGCATACTGGCGAAAAACCCTATGAATGTAAGCATTGTGGAAAAGATTTCTCTCAACGAACTTACCTCCGTCGTCATGAAAGAACTCATACTGGGATAAAATGCTATGAATATAAGCACTGTGATAAAGGTTTCTATTATCTGTTTTCTCTCTAACATCGTAAAAGAACTCATATCAGGGAAAAACCTCTATGAATATAAGCAATGTGGTAAAGCTTTTCTCTTATACACATTCCCTCTCAAGTCAAGAAAGAACTCATAATAAGAGGAAACCCTATGAATGTAAGCAATGTGAATAAAAACTTCAGTTTGCTCACACATCTTCAAAGACATGAAAAAACTCGTGATGGGGTTAAACCTTATGAATGTAAGCAATGTGGGAAAACCTGTTGTACCTCACATCTTCGAAGATATAAAAGAACATATGATGGAAAGAAGCCTCGAATAAGGAATGAATTAAACCTCTTTTTTATTCCCTTCTTTCTTGTATATCATGATATGTATACTGGGGGGAAACTTATGAATGCAAGCAATGTGAGAAAACCTATAATCATCCCAGATCCTTTCAAATTCACAAAAGCTCCCACTGTGGAGAGAAACCATAGCAATGCAAGGAATATGGTAAGACCTTCAGCTTTTGAACCAGTTTTAACAGACGTGTGAAAATAAATCCTGTTGATAAACTGTTAATGTAGAGAATAGGGAAGTGCCTTCATTATTACTCAGCTGTGCCATCATGAACGATTATCCACATTGGGGATGGGCCCTAGAAATGTAAAAGGGTTAGAAATCATTCATTTCTTCTAGTTTATTGTAAAGAATGAAAGAACTCACTGAAGAGAAACCCTGTCATGTAAAGATGGTAGAAGAGCCTTTGGCCATCCTAGTTCTTTACAAAATCATGAAGAGACTCACACCCAACAATAAGTGTATGAACATTAGGAATGTGGGAGAGCCTTACTTAGACATGTGAAAATGCACCTGGAGAAATAGTGCATACATATGGAGAAGGTGAAAGCCTTCAGCTTCCCTCTTCCTTGGGAAGTTCATGAAAAAAAAAACTCAAAGTGGAGAATTGTATTGAATGTAAAAATGTAGGAAACCTTTCTGTTGCCTCATATCCCTACAATACCATGTGAGAATATACACTGTTTAATTGACAATAAAAATAAACCTTAAAATTCTAACAAATACTTCCAAAGTAGTTTGAAAACTGCACTGAAAAGAAATCTTGTTAGTATAACTAATTGGTACATATAGGCCTGTTGCAAATTAAGTCATACACTTCCCAAAACTCATAGCATTAAAGTTCTATAAACTTTTGACATATTTGTTCATTATCAGTACTCATTCTTTGTTATTTTTTTATTTATTTATTTATTTTTTATTTTTATTTTTTTTAAAATATATTTTATTGATTTTGTACAGAGAGGAAGGGAGAGAGATAGAGAGTTAGAAACATCGATGAGAGAGAGTCATCGATCAGCTGCCTCTTGCACACCCCCTACTGGGGATATGCCCGCAACCAAGGTACATGCCCTTGACCGGAATCGAACCCGGGGCCCTTCAGTCCCCAAGCCGACGCTCTATCCATTGAGCCAAACCGGTCTTGGCTCTTTGTTAGTTTTTTAAATTGATTTTTTGGAGTGAGGAAGGGAGAGAGAGAGTAGTGGAGAGAAATATCTATGTGAGAAACACATAGTTATCCTCCGGTGTGCCTGTCCAGGGATTGGCCCTGTTATACCCAGTAATGTGCCCTGACAGGTATTGAATGAATAGGCCCTACACACATATTAATTCTTTTTTAATTTTTTAACAGCACTTGAAATGCACTATTATTTCAGTTAATACGTATTTGTTTTACATTTATACTCAGTCACTGTAGAGTCCCATGTGAATTATTTTCATGTTTGGTTTTTGTGTTTCTTTTAGCTGGGAATTGTGCTATAAAGTTTACACTAAAAAAATAGTTTGTTTTTCTCAGTCTTGGCCTTGACAGCCAAGAAGATCGTCAAAACTGCAAGCTAGTGCTTTACTTCCACTGATGTTGGATAGAAGCTTTACATTTGTTCAGAATTCAACATTAAAGATCCAGCATAGGTTGGCTTTTCCTGCAAGCCCATAGGTGTCCAGCAGGCAACACACGTAGACTGTCATGGTTGGGGCTGTTTTCTGAAGAGTACGCTCTCTTCTCTAGATTGCATTTGCATGAGGTCTAATTTGACTGGTAATCATCTTGTCCTGTTGGTTCTACTGCTGACTGTGATTCAGATCCCACTGTGACAGCTGCAATGGTGCAGTGCCAAGGAGCCCCGTGACAGTTTGTTCTTGTGCCACCCTCTGCAGTGAGGGCTCTGAGCCAGTCCTTCCATGTGAGAATCGGCACTTTCCTCATTTCAGGCAGACTCTGGATGTGTGCTGTCACTCAGAGCTGAGCCTAATCTCTCAATGTTGTCAGTTATCTTTGGTTGTATTTATTAAAGTTATGTACATTTTCCTGTAATTGCATCTGAACTTTTAAAGGAAGTATTAACTGTTTCCTAAGCACTCTTCTGTGAAGAACTATTCTGGTTTTTATTTTCTGAGGATTTATTTAAATATTCCATTGGAATTATTTAATTTCAGTCAATTTGTAATTTTTTTCTTTTTAATACATTCTGAATCAAAATTATATGTGTACAAATTCAGATGTTTTCCTCAAGCTACATTTTTAATTTCTTTTATCACTTTTGGCATTAGACTTCTCTGTTATGCATAATATTAAAAATTCCAATTGTGCATTTTTTACAAAGTTCCCTTTAGCCAAACATCAACCAAATCACATCTGTATTTATAAAAGTGTAATGAAATGTATTCAAATAATATGAATAACTGCAAACTACCCTGGTCAGTATTGTTCTGTTGAGCATCCTCCTGTACACTGAAATGTCATGGTTTCCATTCGTGGTCAGAGCACATCCCCAGGTGTTTGGTTTGGTCCCTGGTTTGGGTACATAGGAAAGACGACCAATCAATGTTTCTCTCTCATATAGATGTTTTTTCTCTCAGAAAAAAAGTCAATAAACAGCAGGGGGACATCAGTAATATTTTCAACAGTAAAAAGAAAATTTAAAGTATGTACAGTCAAACCTCATTTCTCAAGTATCTCTCATCTCAGAAAGTTCTGTTCTTGACCAAGTTGTACTGTGTCCATGGTGGAACCCAACCTCTGTTTTGTAACTGACCATCTTTCCAAGCTGACACCTCCGCATGCCTAAAAGCTTCTTTCAGGCAACATAGGAGAGGGTGCTTTTGTTGGGAGTGAAATCAATGATTAGGACAGGATTTCTAAATTTGGTAAAGGTGAGTGAAACAAGGATCTCAGGCCACTGAAGAGGTATAACATTTGTTCATTTGGATAAAGGGGAAGCAGCCAGTGACAGCCAATTTGGAGGCAATGGAACAAGTAAAGATAGTGACCTGAAAGACACCCCCACCTCCATGATAAAAGTGATTCCTTTACAGGTAGTAGGGGATGGTTCAATAAATTGAAGGAAAGAAGTGTTTATAGATTAAACAATACATTACACATGTGCAGTATATAAGAAAAGTTTTGGCAGAATTATTTTGGCATCTGGAACAGATTCAATTTACTTTTAAAGGGGGAAAAGGATTCAGTTTTCATTTTTTGAACAGCCTTCCTGAACAAATTTTGTTTGAGAACCTCGGTTCTACTGTATCCTACCCTAATATATAAAAAGCCAGGGGCCATCATGGCCCAAATGACCAAACCTGAGGCTGCATGGGGAAACCAGACCGGCAGTGGAGACAGTGATGGACAACCAAATGACTGGACCCTGGACCCTGGCCGGGGCATGGCAGCAGAAGGGAGGTCTGGGCCCCGGCCAGTAACTCTGGGTCTCCCACAATTGGGGGCATGGCTGGCCTTCAAACCTGGGGCCAAGAGCTCCCTGTACGTATAAAATAAACATACATAAAAATATACATGCAGCTGAGACTGGTTTGGCTCAGTGGATAGAGCGTTGGCCTGCGGACTGAAAGGTCCCAGGTTCGATTCCGGTCAAGGGCATGTACCTTGGTTGCGGGCACATCCCCAGTAGGGGTGGTGCAGGAGGCAGCTGATTGATGATTCTTTCTCATCGATGTTTCTAACTCTATCCCTCTCTCTTCCTCTCTGTAAAAAGTCAATAAAATATATTTTAAAAAATTATATATATATATATAGTCTTCTGAGCTTCCCCTGCCCTCCACTTAATATTTGGCTATGGCCTTCTTCTCATGTCAACAAATTGGATGTATAGGCATAATTTTTAATGGCTACAGTGCTATCCCTGACTTGGACATTTCTGTGGTTTACTTCACTAACCCTTTATTGTGGGGCAGGCTGTTTCTGGTTTCCCCTGGCATCAACAACTACAGCAAATGTAAATTGCTTATTTGACTTTACATAGGACACATTCGCAAACACGGAACTCCTGGCCCAAAGCTAATTCACTTGAATTTTGACTCACATTTCCAAACTGACTTTCTAGAAAGTGCTTCTCTTTGTTTAGTCCATTGGTTTTCGATCAAATTGCACTCCCACAAACGGGGTAAGAGAAAACTGTTCATCGCGCCTTCGGCAAATCATGTACTCATGCTGAACTTGAGCGACCCCTTCCTGACATAGCTGTATGCGTGCTTTTCAGGGCACTTTTGAAGGAAGCAGTGGGATCCCGTGCTCCTATGGCTCTCCCATGTGGACAGAGCTGGAACAGCAGTTTCCCAGGAGGTGGAAGCACAGTGGGTCCCTCTCAGTCTGGGGAGGGGCGCACCCAGACACCCCCCTGCACTTGGGCTGGGGCGGGGCACACAGGGCAGGACATCAAGTGGTAAAGGTCCAGCAGACACCCGGCCTCCACACCGCTGGACGAGGGGTGCCAGACACATGCAGGAAAGGCTTGGCACCTCTGTCATCGCCTTGGTTTTCGGAATTCCCTGATCCCCATCTGCCAGCTTCCTCCCTCTGAGGGGCGCTGTCGTCATCACATGGGTGCAACTGGAATATTGTATCTCCAGAGGATTGCCCCAATGTATGTATCCTTTTATCCGATGATGAAAAAGTCGCAAAGAACAAGAATGGAGACAGACTACTGTCCTTTAGGCTTAAAAAATACCCGGGAGGGTCCTGCGAAGAGCTGAGACTCGGTTCTTTCCATGCTCTTCAGAGAATGGGTGAGGAAATGGCCCGGGTTGGCCCTGACTTTACCCACTTACGTTACTCTTGAAGGTGTCCTTGCCACAGTGTGAATAAACTGCCGCCTTTTGGAATGGGGGCTCATACAAAAGTCTGCATTCCCAACTTTTCTTGAAACAGATCTATGTTCTGCAGCTGCGGCCACCATCCCGTGATCAGGTTCTATAGACCAGATCCTGGTGCCGGCAATCGGCACTGGAGTGGATGCCCGCCCCCATGCCTTTTTACATTCAGGGATTGAGCTGAACTCACTTTGTGGGAGGCCTGGCAAGGGTGATAGGTGTCACAGATGGAGGACGGAGAGTTGGCCAGCCCACCCCGCAATTGGGTGAGAAAGCATCCTCTGTGTCCACCTCTCACCTCATGGGCACAGCCTCTCCCCTCAGCTCCAGGCAGCCCTCTGGGTTCCACAAGAGCCCGCTCTGCCCTCACATGCTGCTTGCCCTAAATGACAAGGCCCACAGACAACTACACAGAAAGATAGGGCTCATGGCTGGCAAGCACAGTGTAGGCAGCAGGAAATAAAAAAAGTTCTTGCACTCCTGGTGATTATGGTTTTGTGGGAAAGGAGTGATGGTTCAATGAGAAAGCTTTGGTTTCTCACAAAATAAAGGTGTTGAAGGTAAGGGAACACAGGCAAGAGAATAGGGAACTGGGGTGGATTATATTCTGGAATATGGAACTGCTCAGACACAACACTGGGGAAAATGGGGACCAGCCCGGCACAAATGAGCTCACAAGAGAGGAATGGGGGCCAGTGGTTGACCTGCACCTGTGGCCCAGGAGAGGGACAAGCAGCCCGATCTGTGGTTCTGGGTGCTAGCGCCTGAGCCTGTGGTTTGGGAGAGGGACAAGCCACCTGCCCCATTGTTCTGGGTGCCTGAGGCTGTGGCCCAGGTGAAGCCACCTGCCCACAGTCCCTTGTGGCTGCAGCCAGCAAAGACGAAACCGGCCTGGGTCCTAAATCTGATCATAAATTTCTAACTGGGCATGTCATAGTGCATTTGGATAAAGGGCCTTATATCTTCCTTATAAAACGTTTATCTTTGCCTAAGGCATGCCCTGTCCCATATTCTTATGCATCTAGGTTAACACACACACACACACACACACACACACATATATATTATTCACACACACACACACACACACAAGTAGATAGATAGATAGATAGATATTGATTTATTTCAGAGAGGGAGAGACAGAGATATCAATGATGAGGTAGATTGGCTGCCTCCTGCAAGCCCCCCACTGGGGATTGAGCCATCCCCTGGCATGTGCCCTTGAGTGGAATCAAACTGAGGACACTTCAGTTCAGGCTGGTGCTCCATCTACTGAGCCAGATGAGCTAGGCCCAACTGCTAGGACATGGAAACACTCTAATACACCTTTGGGATTCCGGACCCCTCAGAATGAGCACGTGATTTTGTTGCCTGTATACCATCCCTATTCTCTATAAATGTTAACATTTGAATCAATCAGAGATATCCGTATTTTGCTTTTTCCCACCTCCTTAACCTCCTACCAGCAATGGATTTCATATAATCTTTATGTTCCCTCTGATTCAAAATGCAGAAAAAGAAACAATTGCAAAACTGCCCATCTCTGGACCATGTCTCACTCCACTGGGAACTTATTTCCAGGCATTTCTTCAATTTGCCTCAAATAAACTTTTTTTCTTTTCTTCCAAAAATAGCTTGTCATTTTAATGATCACCTGAGAATAAATTTATTGATTTTTTTGTTTTTTTAATCCAGTTTTTCCCATTGGTTTTTAGAGAGTAGGAGGGAGGGAAGGAGAGAGAGAAACATCAGTGTGAGTGAGAGAGACACATTGGTTGGTTGCCTCCTGCACAGGGATGCAACCTGCAACCCATGAATACTCCCTTGATTGAAAATCAAACCCAAGCCCATTTGGGTCATGGAACAAAGCTCTAACCACTGAGCAATGCCAGTCTGTGATATTAGTTTTTTTTCTCTATTTTACTTTTTCCGTTTTTTTTTCTATTTTAAGAAAAACTATTTTTATTATATTTATAATAATCCACTTGCAATAAACCTTAATATCTCAAGAAAAACTATTATAAATATGATAATGTTACATGCAACAAAGACCAAGTATTCAAGAAAAATGATCTTACATGTAATAAGATTACATGCAATAAACATTAATATTTCAAGAATAGAAGGATTTTAAGTATAATAATATTACCAAAATTGTACTAACACGGTATGATATCACAGGAGTTGTAGGAAATATTAAAAGTCTGCAAATAACAGGATTCTATTATATTCTAAAATATTTTTTTCCTCTGGCTCTGTTTTTGTTCATCAGTTTGTGTTGTTCGTTATATTCCACAAATGAGTGAGATCATGTGATATTTATCTTCCTCCGACTGGCTTATTTTGCTTAGCATAATGCTCTCCAGTTTCATTCATGCTGTTGCAAATGATAAGAGTTCCTTCTTTTTTACTGCAGCATAGTATTCCACTGTGTAGATGTACCAGTTTTCTAATACATTCACCTGCTGATGGGCACTTAGGTTGTTTCCAAATCTTAGCTATGATGAATTGTGCTGCTATGAACATAGGGGTGTATATATCCTTTCTGATTGGTGTTTCTGATTTCTTGGGTTATACTAGTATTCCTAGAAGTGGGATTATTGGGTCAAATGGGAGTTCCATTTTTTAATTTTTTGAGGAAACTCCACACTTTTGTGAATGATCCATGTGCACTTGAGAAGAATGTATATTCTGCTACTTTGGACTGAAATGTTCCATGTCTACCAAATCCATCCGTTCTAGTGTGTCCTTTAGAGTCTCTGTTTCCTTGTTAAGATTTTGTCTGGAGATCAGTCTGGAGGTCAGAGGTGTATTAAAGTCTCCTATTATGGCTGTGCTTTTGTCAATCTCTCTGTTAAAGTCCTCTACAAGTTTCTTTTATATATTTAGGTGCATCTATGTTGGGTGCATAAATGTTTACCAGGGTTATATCCTCTTGTTGGATCGATCCCTTTAGGATTATATAGTGATCTTTGTTGTCTCTTGTGATGGCCTTCATTTTAATGTCTATTTTGGCCGAAACCAGTTTGGCTCAGTGGATAGAGCGTCGGCCTGCGGGCTGAAAGATCCCAGGTTCAATTTCGTTCAAGGGCATGTACCTTGGTTGTGGGCACATCCCCAGTAGGGGGTGTTCAGGAGGCAGCTGATCAAGTTTCTCTCTCATCGATGTTTCTAGCTCTCTATCCCTCTCTCTTCCTCTCTGTAAAAAAATCAATAAAATATAAAAAATAAATAAAGTCTGTTTTGTCAGATATGAATATTGCTACCCGAGTTTTTTTTGTTTTTTTTTTCATTTGCATGGGAACTTTTTTCATTCCCTTCACTCTCATCCTGTATGTGTCTTTTGTTTTGAGGTGGGTCTCTTGTAGACAGTATATAGTTGGGGTGACCAGGCAGAGAGAGGAGAGAAGTTGGGAGCAGCCAGGCTTGCAGGGAAGGGCACTTGTGGGGGACCCAGGCCTGCAGGGGAGAGCAGTTGAGGTGGAGGGATCAGGCCTGCAGGGGAGGGCAGTTAGGGGTGACCAGGCCTGCAAAGGAGGGCAGTTAGGGTAAAAAGGCTGTCATGGGAGTAGTTAAGCATCTATCAGGCTGGCAGGGGGGTAATCAGGCTGACAGGCAGAAGTGGTTAGGGGCAATCAGGAAGGCAGGCAGGCAAGCAGTTGGGAGCTAGCAGTCCTGGATTATGAGAGGGATGTCCAAATTGAAGAGGGTGCAGGTTGGGCTGAGGGACACCCCCTCCACAGTGCATGAATTTTGTGCACCGGGCCTCTAGTTTTAATATAAAAGCAGGTAGTTCTTAACCAGATCTGTAACTTGTTAACTGTTTTATGAGTCAACTGAGGTTTGTACAATAAATCTAGGAATATTGTCAAAGAACAAAAACCTAGCAAGAAAAAAAAAATTAGGATCTCTCTTCCAAGAAGGTGTTCTTGCTAACAGAAATTAACTCTTTTTGTCCCCCACCTTTTTTTTTAAAAAAAGTTGTTTTGAGAGAGAGAGGAAAACAAAACAAAACATCAATCTGTTTTTCCAGTTATTTATGCAATCATGGATTGATTCTTGTGAGTGACCTGTGAATGAACCCACAAGCTTGGCATATTGGGAACAATGCTCTAATCCAGTGTTTCCCAACCTTCTCTCATGATGAGAATCACCTGGTGGAGTTGTTAAAACACAGATTCCTGGATCCCAACTAAGAAGTGCTAAACTAGAATTTTTGGGAACATATAGGTAAAATTGTATACTTAACTAGTGCTCTAAGACAGATTTTATATACAGAGCACTAAGTTAGGTATGCAATTTTACCAATATGTTCTCAAAAATTCTAGTTTAGCACTTCTTAGTTGGGATCCGGGAATCTGTGTTTTAACAACTCCAACAGGTGATCCTCATAATGAGAGA